CTTATTCAGGACAGTCTGAAACTGATGAGAACCGGTCAGAGAGAGAGAGAGAGAGAAATGCAAAATAATACTTACTTAATAGTATTAACACGAATATTTTTAGGCCCCAATTCCAGGGCTAATATTCTGGACAACATATCCATACCTGCTTTGGCCGATGCATAAGCTAGGTTAACTTTGAACTAAGAAACAGGATAATATTAATTTAAAGTTAAATTGCAATTAATTATTAAAATCTAATACTAGTACTATTAATAGCTCATTAATCAGATAAAATGTATTCTAAAAAGTATTTTTAACAAGTCTCGTGTTAACAAATCGCTTAAAATTTTTAGTTAATAACAAATTTTCATATTATAATTATATATTTAAACCCATACCGGTGCAATTGCGCCAATACTTGATATGTCAATAATAGTTCCGTTGGTTTTCTCCAGATGTGGAACCGATCGGTGAATGAGTTCTACGACAGCGCGTAAATTGAGTGCAAATATCTGATCCCAAACTGACAATATGTCCGTTTGAGTGATGTTTGTTTGCGGATATATACCGGCGTTATTGACCAATACATCAATTTTGCCAAACGTTTTGACCGTAGAATCGATTAAATTGTTTACATCAGAAGTTTTGGTCAAATCTCCCACAACTTCTAATGGCTGTTAAAAAGTAATTATTTAAAACAAAAATTTATTTTGTTTTTAAAATATAATTATAATGATATATACCTTCAATTTTAGTGGCGACAACTCCTGTACCTCTTTGGCCACTCGTTGAACGTCCTGTGCTTTCCTTCCGGTGACCACAACATTAGCCCCTAATATTGAGAACAGTTTAACGATTCCCTCTCCGATGCCCGACGANCCCCTAATATTGAGAACAGTTTAACGATTCCCTCTCCGATGCCCGACGAGGAACCGGTCACGAGAATCACTTTTCCCGTAAAATCACGGGATTTTGCGACCGCCTTATAGTCCTCTATAGGATAGTCTGCGCTCACAATACAAACCAATCCACACATTAATACTAAAAGTAATTTCATATTTAATATAAAATAAAAATATCATAGAATTCAAGTTATATTTGATTTAAAATACTAGATAACAAATTTATTGTTATGTGAAAAATATTCTGATTTATATAGGTAACAAATCTGTGCGTTAAATGCCATCTCTATCAATGTAAATATTTCAAAGTCCGAGTGGACTTTTTTAGTGCAAAGATTGATACGATTGTAAAGGAATTAACAAAATTTAATTGAAACTTAATATTGTATATTAGTGAAAATATTCAATACTTGAACAATGAAGATATAATACCTGTTTACCTCTCAAGGTTACTTCCCAACTTGATTATGCTTAACATATTGATTGAATTATAAGTAAATTTAAATTTTTCAAATATATTTAAAAGTTCTTATGCAAGAACTTATAAATATTTAATAAGTATTACTTACACAGTATATATAAATATTTATATAAATATACTTTATTTATATAAATACTTATAAAAATACTTATATCAATATATAAATAATTATAAATATTAAATAGATTATTTCAAATGGTGAAACACTGCATTTAATAATAAATTTAATTTTACTAGTTAATATAAAAAATTTTAAGCTATAATTTCTAGCATGTTATGTTTAAAAATATTAATGTAAAATATGTTACAAAATAATTGTCATTTTATTTAAATATCAACAGTAAATTTTATTGACGTTTATGTAGTTTATATTTTTAAAGATTATACTGTATCATTTATAATTATATAATTTTATAAATATTAACTTAATCTAAAAACTTATTATAACAATATTTGTTTAACATAAACTACATTGTATTAAAAACACCCGCGTTGTATACGAGTCCGCCGTCGACCACAACATTAGCGCCGGTAATAAAGTTGGCGTCAGTGGAGGCCAGGAATGCGACCGCACGGGCGATGTCTAAGGGTTGACCCACTCTTCCCAATGGCGTCACTTTTGGCGCATACTCTTCAAAGGGTTGTATTGGGTCTCTCACGTGAGTTACACCCGGACTATAGATATCAATATATTAGAGGAGAGAGAGAGAGAGAGAGAATATTATATACTCACTTAATAGTGTTTACACGAATATTTTTGGGCCCCAATTCCAGGGCTAATATTTTGGTCAACATATCCAGACCTGCTTTGGCCGATGCATAAGCCAATGATTTCATCTAGTGGGAAAAAACATAATGTTAAATTAAGTTATAATAAAAGTAATGTACTTACATAATTACTAGTTTTTAAAAAATAATTATATAACAACTTTTATAGTCATATTTTTATACTATTAGATCTCAAATAATACAATTAATGTAAGTTTAAACAAAAATTGCAACAAATATATTTTAAATAATAAATACCGGTGCAATTGCGGCGATACTTGAAATATCAATAATAGTTCCGTTAGTCTTCTCCAGATGTGGAACCGATTGATGGATGAGTTCTACGACAGCGCGTAAATCGACTGCAAATATTTGATCCCAAACCGACAATAAGTCCGTTTGATTTATGTGTGATTCCGGATATATACCGGCGTTATTGACCAATACATCCAATCGGCCAAACGTTTGAACCGTAGAATTGATTAAATTGTTTACATCAGAAGTTTTGGTCAAATCTCCCACAACTTCTAATGGCTATCAACAAAATCATTGATGTTTTATCAATAAATTATTCAAGATTTAATTTTGGTTAAAATATACCTTCAGTTTTAGTGGTGACAACTCCTGCACCTCTTTGGCCACTCGTTGAACGTCCTGTGCTTTCCTTCCGGTGACCACAACATTAGCCCCTAATATTGAGAACAGTTTAACGATTCCTTCTCCGATGCCCGACGAGGAACCGGTCACTACAACTACACTACCCGTAAAGTGCAAT